AGTTAGTTGGATATAAAATTTAATACGACGTACTAAAAAAATACTAGAAATATTTACTTGTATGACAATTTCAACATATGATATCTAGTCGATTTTACAGATACACTTGGTAAAAATGAAGAAATAAATGAGAATAAATAGATTATTATGATTTTTGTAACTGCTGTAAATTGTATTTTATCCTCCCATCTTTGCTATATTGTGTTTTATGATATTTGTAGTTTTCTTTGTCACAGTTTGTTACTAATATTTTAACCAGATACTTGACTCTTGTTTCATCTCCCTTCGACTTCTTATCACAATATCTCAAACAAAACATGTTTATGGTTCCTGATAAATTTGTTTAATCATATATTTACAGTATTCACTCAAATTGACTTCGTATATCAAACAAAGGTCCACACGCAACTCATCACGACACCACGTCTCACGAAGTACTGGTTGTTATGGTTATTTACCAAAACTTTTTTGTAGCTTGATTATTTTTACGAGTATTGATTTTCAATGCTTAACACGATATTTTGCTATCCTAATTAATGATATACACTAATTAGTAATTATATATACTACACAATTAACCTCAGAGCAATATTAGAAAATTCATAGTTTTGTCTTATATTTTTTTTTCTTTTTCTTATAGCTTAATCTGTATTAGAAGTGTATTTCAATAATACCACAAAAGATTTGTATCGAAAATAAAATAAAGTACAATGTTCAAAGTAATGTTAATGTGTTGTATTTTTTCAGGTTGGAGGTTCAAACCAAGATCATCCTTTGACTTTCTACGCTGTGCGGCCTAAAATATACAGCGCATAAATATGAAGCATTCCACGGGAAATAAGAAAATTGTGTCAATTGTATACAATGCAATATATGAAGCAATATTTTAGATTTCAGAAAACCCTAAAGGACATGAAATAAAGAAGAATGAAAAACAAAAATAGATAAATACTAGAGCATGAAAACTAATTTTGTTGAGCTATAGGTCCACAGTTATATTGGTAATGTAATGATTGGTGGTATGTAATTTAACACCTTCAAATGATGTGATATATTTTGACTCTTTGAAGGCTTCATGATGGCTTAATCCAAGAAACAGTTTTGTTCCTTAAAATTTCATGCGTAATTTAGACTTTTTTAGAATTTTATTTGGGAATCTTTCAGATTTGGAACGTTTTCTGAATATTTTGATACACTATTTTATTTGCCAAACTAATCATAATGTACCTAGTTTTAGATGCGACAACAGCAAACAAGGATAACATTGTGTAGGTATTCAAACCAGTTTACGTATACAACAGTAATACAGAGGATAAACTACTTCTTTGAAAATAATTATTATACACTGAGCCACCATCTCAGTGGAGTGGTTTTCTTGAATGGAGTCCAAGCAAAGTAAAAAAAAAAAAAAACAGACACAGGTATCGTTAAAAAAATGTAAGGAAACGTTTTATGGTTTTATTTTGTATAGTTATGTGAGCAGAGTGACATACTAAACGTTTTTGGGACAATGTCAATTAGAATTTGGGATATATGCCTTAACTAGAGACAATTTTCAAAAAAAAAAATTTTAGTTTTAATAAAAACTTATTTCTAAAAAAGTTAAATTTAACATTGTGTTGTAGTTTGTAGCTCGTCTCTAACTGTTCCGATTTTAATGATCTAAAGCTCAAATCAAAGCCCAAAAATTACTGAATGATTTAAGGCTAGAACGAACTGCAAGCGTTAATAAGAACTGGAGATTTAAGAAAAATAATCTTAAAAAATGTTCAAAGTACGAAAAAGAAATGTATTGAGATGATTTTTCGTTTGAATATATGTTCAACACGAAAAAATATTTAAAAACGGATTTTATCATTGAAATTAGCGTGAAAATCTTGTTTTTAATGATGTGTCACAACACTATCATTGCTTTTAAAATATTTATCCAATATGGCGGATCAAAGATGAAGGCAAAAAACACGTTCCCTATCAAAATGAAGTACTAACCACTGAATAAATATCGTTAGTGATCCCAAGTCAATTTCTTGAAAAATGTGCATAAGAAATTCATGCGGTATATACTTTTTAATTTTTCAAATGTTGGGGAAAACCGCCATTTTAATAGTGATTTTAGGCGTTTTCCCGGGGACCAATTTTTGAAAACTTTTAGTATGTCACTCTGCACACCCAACACCATAAAATAAAACCATAAAGCGTTTTCTTAAATTTTTTTAAGGTCATATCCTATATTTCTCTTTCTAATACCTCATTACATTGCGTTTATTGATATAAGCTAAACAGAGAAATTCTTTGAGAATATCTGCCATAAAACTTTACATTATCATTTATCAACATACCTATTTTGTTTTCTGCAAGGGTAATATGTTTTTATATGAATTTACTGCAAAAAGTATAAAAATTTTCATCAGCTTCGTTTTGAACTCTGCATTTAATTTCATATTTCTTTATTCATATATCTGTGATCGCTAACAGTCATAGTATATGCTAAGTACTAGTAGTTGAACTTTATTAAATATAGAAACTTGTGTTATTATTATGATACATTGAGATATATATTCAGATTTTGTTATGATATGTCCAGTTCATGTAGTTATAAACATTTGTCTGATGGTCCTCTCAGTAATAATATATGTATACAGTAAATCAGGAAAATAACAAAAATGTGGTAGCTAATCTATACATTACTATACATATAATTATATACATTACTGTATATTCAAACTGATATGAGAATTGGTATGAGAACAGTTGCTTAATGGTCCACTTAATAGGAATGTTATAGGTACATTTCTAGTAAAAATTTACATTATTAAAAAATAAAAATACAGAATTTGGAAGGTTGAAAATATGTATGCGAACATTGTAAATGATGCAAGTAAGGACATAAAAATATTAATAAATATGTTTAATATTAGACATTGAATGTGTAAATTAGAAGTTGAGGGTATAGTAAACATAGAAATTGAAACAACCAAAACACATTTTAGAAATAGGTAGGGTTTTAACAAATTATTTGAAACGTATGATACTGTGAATTGTTTGCAAATTTTATCATGGAGGCTTGATATTTCAGAATAGTTACCGGATCAAATTCAATTGAATATCATATAAAATTGTAACGATGCAACAGTATTTACAAAACTGAAACACTAGGTTTTAGGGTAAAGTTACAGATTACATTGAATTAAGTTAAATTTCAGTTGGAGTTGATTAAGCTGATTCATATGGTCATATATACGTAAATCTATGTGAGATTTTCGACGTATATGATATGCGATGTATGTTTGTACGCTATTTACTGCACATAAAACCACTCAGCGAATCTCACAAACATTTTAACTTGGGCCAGGCCAATTGTAACGCATAATAGTTTTGGCGTATAATGTTGAATTAGTTTTAGTTGGAATATATTCGTAAATGGTTTAACATCACGAAATATATGAAATATTGCCTAATCCTTCTTAATTTTCAGGGGAAACACAAGAACCATATATCAAAACGGTAACTGTATACACCTCCGACGTTTGTTTTTTATTCGATTGAAACATTTTCAAACTCCTTTCAGGAGTAGCAGATAATTTACAGAAAAACCAAAAACCATTTAAGTTTGTGAAAGTATGATTACTTTTAATGAAAATTCATTTGCTCTACACAATGGTTGTAACTATTTGCACAAAGTTTTAAAACAAAATATAAATGAATTTCTGGAGAATTATAGAAGGTTAAATACTTATTTTGATAGAATACAGTAAAGATCTATTCGACGTACAATGTAGCCAAAATCCCAACCTTTATATTATACAGCCGGATGTGTAACTAGTAACGTATACAAATGTTTGGGCACTTCTAGATGAGCTAGAGACGTGAAATTTTCGGTGTTTTGTAGGTCTAGTGCCAAAACCCCCGGTAAAAATCCGAAACTGGCATTTTCCCCTTTCAACCCCCCCTAAATTAACAATTTCCCCCCCTGTTATTCTTATGGGAAATATCGTTGAAAAACACCAAATTTGGTGAGCTCATCTGAACCGTTTAGAAACGTGCTAGAGACTTGGAATTTGCGTAGTATTGTACTATGGGATCTTACATTACTGGTGAAATTCGTAAAAACCCCATTTTCAAAATTCTACCTCCCCAAACAAATTCCATAAAAATTTCGGTTTTTGGAAAAACATGTTTTTTTAAAACGGCTGTAGCTCGAAAACCGTAAGAGCTAGAATCGATTTGAGGGAAAATCGTAGGTTCGCAATTAAATTTTCTACAAGACAGTTTTGTCAAAGAAGGCGTTATATCGAAATTCGCACTCCTTCACCTTCAAAAAACGCTCTAATTCCAAAAATTGTGAAAATCCCCGATTTTTTTGACGTGTTTTTTATTTTTAAGGCGATTTTTCGTATATATATTTTCACTTTTTATGCTCCCAACATTGAGAGGAAAGTCCCCAAAGTGACCTTCTATAATTTTAACCTACGGAAAAAAATTAAAAATGGTGGATTTTCAATCAAAAATATAATTTTTAACGAGCGAGGCTTTTGATGTTTAGTTTCTGATGTCTCTAATCATGTTATAACCTGAGAGAGGATCATATCTTCCTTCCTTGATTGATATTTCAGTATTTTTAATTTAGTAATTGATATCTCAGTTAGGTAAATAGGGAGGATTAAGACTGTTCGTAGTTGTAGTTTACTTTCTATACACTACGCATCTGGGGTTTCTTTTATTATTTTTAAGATTGCAACTGTTTTTAGTTTAAATATTCTCTTTAATTATCCTCTTCCCAAATGCATTATATGGTAATACATTTTGCAGGAGATTGGTTAACACATTCAGGACCATGTAACACAATAATCCTCATAGACGAAGGCAAGGTATTATGATCACTGCTATTGAGCCACAACTAAATCTTTCTACACCATGTCTTTTTTAATTCTTTAAACTATAACATTATGTCTAAATAAACAACTATTAGAAGCATAGAGGATGTTAATTTATTTGATGGGACATGACAGGAAGGAAATTAGACAAAATATAATTATTACTCTGGAGGATTGTTGTGAGACTCCCCAGCTTGAGCTTAAGGAGCAGATTCTTCGTGTTTGCGGCCTCGACGTCTGCGCGTGCTTCTACGAGACCTGCGTCTTCGACGAGCCATGGTGAGATCATCTAGGTCATCTCGCCTCCTAGCGTGTCTTCTAGATCTCTTCCGGCGACGACGAGCCATGGTGAGATCTTCGGAGTCATCTCGCCTCCTAGCGTGTCTTGTAGATCTCTTACGGCGACGACGAGCCATGGTGAGATCGTCGGAGACATCTCGCCTCCTAGCGTGTCTTGTAGATCTCTTACGGCGACGACGAGCCATAGTGAGATCGTCGGAGTCATCGTTGCGACGTCTTATAGACCTACGTCTTCTTCGAGCCTGGATAGTGCTATGTCTCCTCCTGAGTCTTTTGCTAATAGACCTTCTCCTGCGTCGAGCCTCTATCAGTTCACTGCCTGCTTCACGTTGCCGTCCCGTTTGTTGACGGCTTCTCCTTTTGTACCGATATCTTTGTTGTCTGCGACCGCGGGCTGCGACTACCTCATCATTGTCGTCGTGACGTCTAGCTCTTCGACGCTTTAGTGATCGTTTGCGTCTCCGACGTGCCTCCAAGATTCTGTTCAGTGCAGGGTAGAAGCGGTTTTGTCTGACAGTCAAGAATCCCTTTTCTACTGCTAGTTTCAAAGACTTCTTATAGTCCGGGAGAGTTTTGAGGCCGTAGTTGTGACGTAGAAAGTCAGCGACATCTGAGACGCTAACTCCTTTCTTCTTATCGAGGTACATCACCGCTGTCACGACAGGACCTACATTTTGATTACACCTACACGCTCTCAACATCTTGTCAAAATTTGAATTTTCTCGCAGCTAATTTTGATACACCTTTTCTATGAAGATTAATTTAAAAGTGAACTGTTGCTACGCAACATATTTTTATTACAATATAAGTGGTTTAAGTATTTTATGCAATCCAAATGGTTAGTTTTGGTTTAACACCGGAACCGTCATCAGGCTTCACAAGAAAATTGTCGCTTCTTGAGAAGGTCGTCACAGTTCACACAAAAAATTACAAAACATCGAAACATTAAAAACACGACACGCATGACTAGATACGACGACGCAACCATCAAGAGTTTACATCTAGACTATTTTTAATTGTTTAACGGATTCCGTACCATGAGATACGAGACTCCTTGTAGAGAGTGTGACGACTGATAGGCAACGTGTTGAAAATAATCCCAACCTTTATATTATACAGCCGCATGTGTAACTGGTAACGTATACAAATGTTTGGGCACTTCTAGATGAGCTAGAGACGTGAAATTTTCGGTGTTTTGTAGGTCTAGTGCCCAAACCCCCGGAAAAAATCCGATAAGTGGCATTTTCCCCTTTCAACCCCCCCTAAATTAACAATTTCCCCCCATGTTATTCTTATGGGAAATATCGTTGAAAAACACCAAATTTGGTGAGCTCATCTGAACCGTTTAGAAACGTGCTAGAGACTTGGAATTTGCGTAGTATTGTACTATGGGATCTTACATTACTGGTGAAATTCGTAAAAACCCCATTTTCAAAATTCTACCTCCCCAAACAAATTCCATAAAAATTTCGGTTTTTGGAAAAACATGTTTTTTTAAACGGCTGTAGCTCGAAAACCGTAAGAGCTAGAATCGATTTGAGGGAAAATCGTAGGTTCGCAATTAAATTTTCTACAAGACAGTTTTGTCAAAGAAGGCGTTATATCGAAATTCGCACTCCTTCACCTTCAAAAAACGCTCTAATTCCAAAAATTGTGAAAATCCCCGATTTTTTTAAGTGTTTTTAATTTTTAAGACGATTTTTCGTATATATATTTCTACTTTTTATGCTCCCAACGTTGAAAGGAAAGTCCCTAAAGTGACCTTCTATAATTTTAACTGACGAAAAAAATTTATAACGGTAGATTTTCAATCAAAAGAAAATTTTTAACGCATTTTCTTATGGAAAATTAGCATGCTTTTACAGGCAAACTAGACGTAAACGTGAGTAGGTGAATTATAGGCGTTTGGTGACAGAAAAAGAATGATTGTCACTTCTAGGTTAGCAAGAGATCTGAAACTTATTGGGAAGGTTCGTCTAGGTACCAAACCACCCAGAAAATCCCAAATTTTAGTTTTTCCGACTGCAACCCACCAAATGAATTCCCTTAAATCCCCCTTTTTTTGGCAAAAACACGTTCTTTTAAAATTTCTGTAGCTCGAAAACGGTAAGAGCTAGAAAAGATTTGAAAGTAAATCGTGAGTCTGGAATTAAATTTTCTACAAGACACTCTTTGGAATTTTTCAGAAATTGCACTTCTTCACCTTCAAAAAACGCCCTACTTTCAAAGATTGTGAAAACTCTATATTTTTCCGTGTTTTTAATTTTTTTTACTAGCTTTTGTATATAATTGGTACTTTTTATGCTCCCAACATTGAAAGAAAGGTGCCTAAGGTGACCTAATACATTTTTTAAACTACTCAAAAAATAAAAGTGGCAGGTTTTCAGTAAAAAGGATAGTTTTTAACGCTTTCAAAGCATTTGTTATGTAGAATTACTATGCTTTGACACGCAAACTAGACTTAAAAGTAAGTAGGTAAATTATGGATGTTTAACAACAGAAAAAGCTAGATAGTGACCAATCCCATCTTAATCCTCCCCCCTCTATTATCCCCTTTATAAAATTTATGTTAAACTGTTTATAGACGTAGAAAATAATAAAGATTTTTGTAGAAGCGAGGTCAAGGGGGCCCATTCTTGGTACTGATGATTTTAACCCCTCCCCCCTGCCCCCGAAGGGGGCATAAGACTCTCTATAAATATTGTTACCTCCTCAAACCCCTTAGATTGTTACGTTATTGCTATATTATTATCGCTAAATATAGGTATACAGTAAATATCATAGAAAATTTAAGTTTTGGAGCACCAAACACACATCAAGACTCTAAGATGTCAGGACTTGTTTAATCACCCCGTAATAAAATACCGTTTATGAATTACCTAGCAACTGCTAAGTTATCATAATATTTAGACGCTGAAAACATTCCTAGACAAAATATTGTCCCCCGAGGTAATTTCCAACTATCCCCCAACCAAAAAAGGGGGCCTGGAGCACAAGGCGAGTCACATTTATATAAGGGGTGACATAAAGTTTTGTGTCTCATTGTAGTTGGAAAAAACAGCGCAATACACAACTTCAACTAACTGCGGCTGATTCTATCAATCCAAAATTTAAAAATACATACGCATTAAACATTTTGAAGGGGGAATATCTAGGGACTAACACCTATGGCAAAACATTCAGTTAAACCACTTTGCAATGCATGGTTTTATACTACATTTTACTATACATAAAACGCTTGTATGATTAAATAATTTGGAAATATAGATTAACAACTATAATGTACTGCAAATTTATGGCACACTTTTACTTCTCTTAAAAATATCAAGTAGTGGTTGGAATCACGACATAACGTAACTAAAAACTAAGTAAATGTTACATGATAATTTTAATAAGCTTTGTTTATGGCATCGAGATGTTCAATTTCTATTATTTTTGTTATTACAGTTAAATATGTCGGTCATGCAAAGGGAAGGTAACACATAATTCCTCCAATAAATTACTAGCATCACAAACACATAGCGGCTTAACCGTTAACCATTAATTCCTGGATTATTTGTGGCTGGACCCAACGTCTGAAGTGAGAAAATGAGCGTGTGTTTAAATCATATATTGTCTCACTCCATTCGTGTTGGTTCAATGTTTTTTTTGTTTTCCTTACTTCAAATCCACCGTTTAATAAAATTATTCATTGTTTGATAATTGATGCAATGACAACCAATAACAGTACTGTTAATTAATTAAGTCAAAATATTTCACACATATCGTATTACGCTGCATATTAAAATTTAAAAGAAAATCAATAAAAAATGTGAAATGCATGTTTCGTTTATGATAACTCTGCTGAGTATTGTGTATAAGAATTATATAAAGATTTAGGAAAAAACTATCCTTTTTATTGAAATCCTACTAATATTATAAATGAGAAAGTTTGGATGTAGCCTATGTATGGATGTTTGTGACAATTAAACGCGAAAAATACTGGTCGGATTGGGCTGAAATTATAACCTAAATAGAATATGAATAAGAATAAGAATAAGAAAGTTTATTGCCATTGACCAAGTTGTACATAGGAATAGGCATTGTCAAATTACATTAAATAAAAGATTACTAAAAAATCATATCTGCTCACATTCCCGATCAACATACAGTATTGTTATTTCAAAACTCCTTTCAGGGTCCACCCCAGTGGCTCTGAGGTTTCCCACGTTAACCTTATGGGTATTAAAATTTAAAAGGAATTAAATAATTATGTCTGCTGATTCGACCAAACAAGTTGGTTCTGGTATTCAATAGCGTTAAAAAGATATAAGGTTTAGGCTTACCAACAGGGTGCAGCACTATTATATTTTTTGCAATTATGATAACAGCTAATTTGAAGTAAGCAGCATCAAAAAGCTGTGATACTCAATGAGAACTGTCAAAGTAGGATTGTTTACAGTAATGTTTATGTTTTGTTGTTGTTGTGATATTGTGTGAATGTTCGATAATATTTTTTTTTATTGTTTAGGTGCAGTGGTAGAACAGAATGGCTATGGTAGATGTGTAATACTATACTGTATATACCATACTATATCTGTAATACTATAGCATACCGTAAAAATATAAAGAACCAAATTCTCTCAAGCCCCTCCCCCATTGCAAACGGAAAGCTAGAGTATAACTGCAATAATCATTTTATACTTATACGCCAAACCCGTACGAAGAAAGGGTACTCTGCTAGTTGTTATAATGCCTCAACGCTTTCTGCGCATTGTATGTTACTTACATGCGTTATATAGGGTTTTATTTATTTTAATTCTAAATGTATTGGTTCTTATTGTAAAATTGGTTGGTCGAGGCTAATATGGATATGAAGCTTGTAATAATTACCCTATGAGAGAGCAAACTTATTTTTTGTCTAAATCATACTACGTGTTTAAGAGAAAAGCTTCTTGATCAGCATTGTACGTGTTATTAAATTTACTGAAAGTAAATAAAAGATACGTCTTATTACACTTAAAACATATATTAACGCTTATACTGTTAGTCACAAGACAGTAAATATACAAAAAAGATGGTAAGTGGTGATCGATTTCGATTGGACACTCCAATCATCATCAGACCCAATAGGCGAATGACAAGAATCTTGAATGGCGTCCCTACTTATAACCTATTGGCTACCGGAAGCACCGGTCAATACATTTTTATAAGTACAACTGGAATCGAAATTTACTTGTTCATTAACCAACTTATATGTGCATCAATTCGCCTATTGGGTCTGATGATGATTGGAGTAGTGTCCAATCGAAATCGATCACCACTTACCATCTTTTTTGTATATTTACTGTCTTGTGAGTAACAGTATAAGCGTAAATATATGTTTTAAGTGTTATAAGACGTATCTTTTATTTACTTTCCGTTTAAAAGAATAACAATGCCAATGTCAGAATACGACTCTAGTCAACATACGTTATTCTGTTGTTAACTTCAGCTACAACTGAAATGAATCCATTTGAAAAAGTCAGGAAATGTAAAGAACTATTAAATTATTATGACACTAAAACTAAGCCCCTTTTACTACATTGTTCATTGGGAAATATTCAAAGGGTGATGACCATGTCAAAATGGAAACTCTTCGGACTCGATGTAGAGCACAATCTTCAGGGTGACTTGATTTCTATAACATTGGTGCAACAAGTGTTAAGTAGATTTTGACACGTTCGTCTTACGAAAGCCACGAACCTACAATATGTGATCGTAGAAATCCATCCACAAATAA